GAGAGAGAGAGATTATAACTTTCAGTAAATAAAGTACATTCTGTCTTGTGGACACCCCATAACATAATGATTACTGGGGCGAGTGTGTTTTGGCTCAGTGCCGGTCTTCATCTTAATTTAAGGAAGAATGCTCAGTAGCTATAAATTAGGTTCCCTTGAAGCAAAGCAATGTCTGCTGTGAACTCCTTGGAATGAAATCACGCTCTTGTCTGCTACATTTCGGGAAGCGCTGTTTAGTCTGACACCCTGTGATTTTTGATGGCAGGGCTGTGCATGTTATGCCGTTTGAGATGTTTTTTGAGAGCAAGCTTGTTAAAGGTGAAGGAGTTAATTAGTAGCTATAAATACCCTTAATAATAATGGGGAGATATGATATGTCAGCAGGGGTTTCATATCCACGAGACGCACACGCGGGAGGCCGTGACGGCAGCTGCCCGCCTCACTTTCACATTATTCCCTTTAATCATGTGAACATCTGCTCTATTCAAATCGTCTATCAGTCCTTAATCTCCAGGGCCGGCCCTCCTTAACCCCTTCTTTACCCAGCAATCAGAGCTGACTGATATAAATACTTTAATTAAAGGAGGGGGTTGTTGTGTCTGACATCTTTATAAGGATCAAATGAGGGGTACACATATTTCATGCGTAAATATTAGGGGCTGTGAATGTTATCAGTGTTGATAATTGTACATTAGAATTTTGTGATAATATTTTGGCACAAAAACCTCTGTATTAGGAGAGAGCCAGTGGGATGGGTATGTGTTACTAATATCTCTGTATTAGGAGGAGGTTCGTGTTACTAATATCTCTGTATTAAGAGGAGGTGAGGTGGATGCTACTGATATCTCTGTATTAGAAGGAGGTGCATGTTACTGATATCTCTGTATTAGGAGGAGATGAGCTACGTGTTACTGATATTTCTTTATGCAGAATTTGCAAAGAACCCCTGACAGTGACATTGCCGCTGGGAGTCTGGTGGCAGGGAGGGCAGGGAAAGATGAGTTCTACTATTTGAACCTGTCCCTTGATAGCGTGGCCATCTTCCACCAGTGGGTCATCATCAGATGAAGCGCTACATGCCAACATCAATGTTGTACTCTCGCGCATGCACAGAGTACAGCACTGAAGTCCATGGAGGGTCCCACAATACAGCCAATTCCCTTTTGCTCTCACTTGTGACAGCTGGGTGACTGACACTTGTATACGGTAGTAGCTCTGCCCAGTTACTATAAATATCAGATAGAAAAAATATACAGAGACAAAGTAGCCCCAAGTTTGTCTATTGACTGGGTTGGAATTTTACACAAATTACAAATATATTGAAATTATTTATTCCATAAAGATGCTATGATATACTCCTTTTTCCTGGGTTGGGTAACTGTGCCGCTTTAAGCATGTCCGGACAAGCATGTTGTTCTACAATATTACAACTTCCTGGAATCCTCCTGTGGATGTAAATAAAAGGAAGTTAATTACCAAAGTCGCATGTTCCCCTCATAGTATAACCTTCTCACTTGCAGATGTTTGTTGCTAATTAACATGCTTTTTTTTCTAATTTGGTAACAAAGCAAATTACCCATCTCAACAGAATAGCAGTAGCCTCCCTCTCTCACTTGAAATATCCACGAATAGAGAATTCTCTTTACCAGCGAGCTCTCTGCATCATTTGTGTTCTAAAAGAATGTCCGAGACTACACGTTGCAAACAGTCAACCAGCCTGTCCCACACTGTAAACTGCAGGCACAGGTATATTACTTGAATTAATTACCTCATAGGATGTGTATTTGCAAATGTGTGTTAATAGTCAATAATATTTACTAGCCCTTTTGCCAGTCTTTACTAGAGAAATAATTTTTGTCTGGACCAAAACCATTATGCGGATACGTTTTTACTTTTCTGCTAATTTATATTGATACCATTATGCAATCTACTTGGCATTTCACGTCTCACGTGTCTGATCAGTTTTTTATATTAACCTGTTTTCAATTTAATGAAATTAATTTTTCGATCTTTCACCACAATCCCACAAACCGAATAAATTAAAAAATATATATATATAAGATTTGGGATCCATCGGACCCTCTAAAACCAGAGAGGAGCCAATGCTTGTTGCATTCCTAGTAGGTGAAAATGAAAAGGGGGTTTTTAACTCATGTATAATTCTAATAATATTCTTTATTTTTTTTATTGTCCATTAAGATATTTTTTTATGTATTTCTTTTCTATCCATATTCTCACATTCATGTTTTTTCACTGTCTCTTTTTATTTTTTTATTTTTACCCATAACCCCTGCTTGGCCTTTTACGTACCTCTACACTCCCTCGCCCATTGTGACTTTCTAAAATCCGGCATGATTGTAGACCTTACAATGCTCCATGTGAAATGACACCCACTGTAACTCTTCTGATTGACGCATGTGTTCTGGATAATTCTTTGTATTCAAGGTAACAAAGTCCGGTGTTCTCAACGCATTAAGTGTTTGGTAAAAGCTGTTATTACTTTGAGTACAAGTTATGTTATAACACTTCAATGGGTTTATGTAATAACACACTTTCCCCAGCCATTAATTTAAAGCAGTTGTAGGTTATTACATGGTAGAATCCGTCCTAAGTGCGTTATGTAGCGGTAAGAATGTTTTTACGATTTATGCAATTACTAAACAAAGGGCATTTTTAGAGAGTCACACATATATACCCTGGTATCTTAATCGTCAGCCTTTTGTAACAGATCCAATCTAACCAAAATGAATATTCTTTGTTTGTAGGGACAGCAAATTGAACTGACCAGATTAGTTTTAATCCAAGAGAAAATTACACGTAGGGCACATATTTCACATTTATATCGTTATTTATACTGTTATACTGTTATACAGTTATGATATCATTTTCAGCTCACACTACGGATTTTTCTATTCCGTTTTGTTAGAAAATCTCTTATCACCATATATAAACGTAAAACATTCTATATAGTTTCTTCTGTTCCAATGTCTCCCAACTGCACGTTCAATTATTATCTATTGCTACAATATTAATCCATAAAATATCTTTAAATATAATCTTACTCCATATAACCTCTCTATATAACTCCTCCTATTACTCCATATAACTCTCTCTCTATAACTCCTCCTATTACTCCATATAACCTCTCCCTATAGCTCCTCCTATTACTCCATATAACCTCTCTCTATAACTCCTCCTATTACTCCATGTAACCTCTCCCTATAATTCCTCCTATTACTCCATATAACCTCTCTATAACTCCTCCTATTACTTCATATAACCTCTCTCTATAACTCCTCCCATTACTCCATATAACCTCTCTCTGTATCACCTCCTATTACCCCATATAACCTCTCCCTATAACTCCTCCTATTACTCCATATAAACTCTCCCTATAACTCCTCCTATTACTCCATATAACCTCTCTCTATAACTCCTCCTATTACTCCATATAACCTCTCCCTATAACTCCTCCTATTACTCCATATAACCTCTCTCTATAACTCCTCCTATTACTCCATATAACCTCTCTCTATAACTCCTCCTATTACTCCATATAACCTCTCTATAACTCCTCCTATTACTCCATATAACCTCTCTCTATAACTCCTCCTATTACTCCATATAACCTCTCTCTATAACTCCTCCTATTACTCCATATAACCTCTCTCTATAACTCCTCCTATTACTCCATATAACCTCTCTCTATAACTCCTCCTATTAATCCATATAACCTTTCTCTATAACTCCTCCTATTACTCCATATAACCTCTCTCTATAACTCCTCCTATTACGCCATATAACCTCTCTATAACTCCTCCTATTACTCCATATAACCTCTCTCTGTAACTCCTCCTATTACTCCATATAACCTCTCACTATAACTCCTCCTATTACTCTATATAACCTCTCCCTATAACTCCTCCTATTACTCAATATAACCTCTCTCTATAAGTCCCCTATTACTCCATATAGCCTCTCTCTATAACTCCCCCTATTACTCTATATAACCTCTCCCTATAACTCCTCCTATTATTCCATATAACCTCTCCCTATAACTCCTCCTATTACTCCATATAACCTCTCTCTATAACTCCTCCTATTACTCCATATAATCTTTCTCTATAACTCCTCCTATCACTCAGTATAACCTCACTCTATACCTCCTCCTATTACTCCATATAACCCCTCCCTATAACTCCTCCCACTTATCCATATAACCTCTCTCTATAACTCCCCCTATTACTCCATATAACCTCTCTCTATAACTCATCCTTTTACTCCTTATAACTTCTCCTTATATCTCCTCCTGTTGATGATACTGGGGAGTTGTTCCCTCCTTCTTAATACTTGCGTGTATGAACTCTGCACACACTAGACATTCTCTATGTGAGCTAGTCAGTTTAATTCCGTTTTTGCAAGGGGACGCCCTCAGGCGCGGTGCTGAATGAATGGTGCTAAAAATAGAAAATACAATTGAAGTTAAGGAAGAAAAATATGAATAAATCATCCTCTGAGTTACTGAGCGGTCCACACGCAGACGTTCTTTAGTACAGTCATATTCATCATTAAACTTCAGATTTGATTAAAAAATAAATATGATTCCACCTTAATTAACTCAAGTCTCTTTGTTGCGTAATTCTCACCCTTGTCTACTTGTGTTTAATATTTGGAATGTGGATATTAATGGTCTTGTATTGTGGTTCTTGGAGAGGAGAATAGATCTGAATTGGAAACATTTGGAGTAAATCGAATAAAGTAAGAACTGCCGGTTATTCATTGTGAATTCAACGTGAATTTCAAAAATTTACACCAATATAGCCAAATTGAAAAAAAGTCAACTCTGATTTCAGTTTGGCTATTTTACTAAAAACGGACACTTTATCTACCGATAGTGATGTCCCGAACGGTTCGCCGAACGGTTCACGAACGGTTCGCCACGAACGGTTCGCCATGGACTCATCATTGAGTAAACTTTGACCCTGTACCTCACAGTCAGCAGACACATTCTAGCCAATCAGCAGCAGACCCTCCCTCCCAGACCCTCCCACCTCCTGGACAGCTCACTAAGAATGCAGCTTCACAATGAATGTAAAATGGATGCTGTCCAGGAGGTGGGAGGATCTGAGAGGGAGGGTCTGCTGCTGATTGGCTGGAATGTGTCTGCTGACTGTGAGGTACAGGGTCAAAGTTTACTCAATGATGAGTCCGTGGTGAACCGTTCGGCAAACCGTTGGGGACATCACTATCTACCAAACACCGCTGAAACTGCCGACCGCCCTTCTTATCCACGGGCATGCGAACGCCAGTCCATTCGGGACTTTTATTAACCCAGATAGTCATCCCATGGAGTCAATCGTATAACGAAAGAACAATGTGAAAGACTTTGACGCCATGGCGATTGAACTGTGTGCATTGGGTCTGAGCGCTATTCGGTAGTTATGTGCGCTCAGACCCAGGCTATCTGGGGATACGTTACTCGAACTAAAAGCATTCGGTAGTTTTATAGTTATTGATTTTTATGTGTTTTTATTATACTATGTAAAATGGCGATTTGCCTCTATCCCCAGAGATAATTGGATTTCTTCCCAATTATCTCCAGGATAGAGAGGAGGGATTTACTTGTACAAAGGGGAGTGTTTATAGCTGAGCCACTGTGATTGGCTACTGTACAATATGTGTCCCAGTCTCCCATCTGGTCCCCTAGGGGTGTGTCCACCAGGTGGGAGACCTGCATTCTCACACTCTTTTAGATTTATATATAAATATTTGATTCAAAATGAAAGCCCTATTTCTCTTGAACAAAATAATATATCAGTGTGGGTGCACTTTTTATGAAAGAGGTAAATTACGGTTGCACAAATTCTAGGTATTGTGTACTTTTTGTCTTGATCAGAAGGTGTACAATTGCCTCAGTTTTTAAGGGGTTAACAAAGATAAGATGCACTGGGTGTTATGTTTATAGTGTAACATAACTACATTTTTAACTACTAATTATAATTTTGTAAACTTCAGCACATTTTTTACACTTTCACCTCCTTTGCAGCCTATGTGTCTCAGAAGGGTTCAGCACCTTGGAGAGTTCCATTACACCCTAGTGAACCACAGCAAATGTTAAACTTATAAAAACACCATTAAACTCTCTATTATTTAATTAATTATTTATGAGTTTAATGTGTTATATAAATAAGTACAAACATATTATAATACTAAAAAAATAAATCTATAAGAGTCCTACATTTGTAATAGATCCCCATGTAACCGCGGCTCGTTCCCTTATTTACCACTATAATGTCTTAAAACATAGAAATTAGTAGGGCTAACCATACAGATATCTTAGCCATAATTTTATATAGTTAGTGTAAGAGATCCTCTATTTAACATATATAAATAATTGAGAATACAATATAAAATAAGGATTGTCTTGGAAGCAATAGTTTTGTCTTTTTAGATATTTATTATGTAAAAATATAAATATAGACATATAAAACCCATTATAGCAGAGTTTATAAGATTAAACTAAATGCTTGCAAATATCATTAATAGGTTAACATACCCTTCTGAACATGTCATCATGTCAGTCTCTCTGTCATTTTAAGATGGAGCAGCGTCTGTCTCCAAGTCTCTCCTCTGTGTCTTAACATTTAAAAGTACATCTATTTATACCTTAGGTGTCTCCATTTTAGGGTTACTGTAGTTCATATATTAAAAAGTAACACTTCTTTTACTTTATTCATTTTAGGACCTCCCTTAACTTGGCAAACATACAAGGTCATAACTAAAGGGTGTATACGTCATGGAAATTTTCCTTACTTAGTTCAAGATGGCATCTTAAAGTCTGAACATCCTCATCTACTAAGGTTACCACAGTATATTATGTACTGAAAGAGTCGTAGCATAGCCTTGAGGCTTGTTTCTGCATTATTGTTATTGTAATTCGTCTGGGACAAAATAGCGCAAACAAATTATTGCTTAAAGAAACATCTATGAAAAACAATATGTTCCATTTCTAACACCTTGTCAGTTTGCAATATCTCTTAAAGACAAAGTACACAGTTTAAGAAATACATTTAATTCTAAAACTTATAATATTTGCATTTGCCCATAACACTTAAGTGATGTCAGCAGAGACCAGGAAGTGACAGAGATCTCTCAGCAAATCTCAATCCTTGCACGGCTTTCAGGTAATTATAGATACATTTAGCTATCGTATTGTTCTCTTGCAAGCACTCTGTGGGGTAGATATGATCTATTTTCTTAAATGGTTACTCAAAGCACCACTTCAGGGATTTGCAGTTGTCATGGTTCTTGCAGTCCATATGTACAGAGTTTTCCTGCACATACAGAGTGTAACCTCTTTGCTGCCAGAGGTATAACTCCAGCTCTGGCAGCATCTCTGGGATATCAGTAGCCAACCCGGACAGGTGTCCAATGGTGACATGTCCCCATCCATGCCACCGATGTCCTTCCCTTTGTAGTCCCTTACATCCCTCCCTCTGCAGTGAAAGGGAGTGACGTCAGCAGAGGGGCATTAGTCTGTAGGATGAACTAGGTCTCAATGCTGGAAGCTATTTCTTTTATTTATTTGTTTAAGTTTGGAGGGAGGTGTACCACGATAGGAACTGTGGGACCAGGATATGGGTTAGTGTAACCAAAAACAGCCTTTTATTAGAATACAGTTTTTATGGTTTGAGTCATCTTTTAATGTCTGATATTGACAATGAATTAAACATGCACAAAAATAAATACATTAAAAAAAAAGAAACATGTTCCAAGTTCCTATGCTATCAGAAGAATCAAGTATACATTTCTCCAACCAGGAAGAGGCTAAGGAGCTGATCGTTTTGATGGGCGTCAGCAGTTTTTACATAGGATTACTGGATCTTCTTGATCATGTGATAATGGCTGCTCTCTGAGTATTCACAGCCATGGAAATGCGCTCAGGCGCAGCTCAGGGGGAGCAGTGCATCACGCTTGTAAGCCGCAAAGTACGTGTCAGAGTGACATGTGGCATCCCTTCTGTAAGCACAGAGTTTTGGAGCTCAGCTGAGATTGTCAATGATGAATCATTTCGCTAATCTGACACTATCTGCTTTCCTTTATATTTGCCTTTCCTGCATCACTCCATCTTCCTTTCCATATATCACATTCTATGCTTTTTTCTTCCTCATCTTTTTCTATATAATGCCATGTCTTTGTCCTCGGTAGAGTCTAGGTCTCCTTTATCTATATGACCATCTCCTGCACCCTCAACTCATCATCCACCCTCTATTTCATCTCGATTTACAGGGCCTTTTATTCGTTCGTGTCACCTTTCTATCCCCCTTCACTTCCCCTCCTCGCTTTCTCTCCCTCACTCTGCATATCCCTGGAACTCAGACAATCTGTATGGATTGTCTCGATGACAGCACTATCAGTCAGGCTATGGAGAGGGATGCGCAATGTATTAATTCCTAGGCTTTGTGTTTGCAACTTAAAGGAGCTCGTATGAACCTCATCACTCATCTCTGCAATAAGCTGACAGCTCAGCCGAAATACCGCCGTCCGCCTTCCACATCTGAAAGGAAAAGGGGTTAATTTCTCGCTGTTTACTGTTTATTTTGCTAAATGACATCCCTAGAATCCTAGAATTCCTAGATGGTTGAGAAGGTTGACCATCACTTTCTTTGGAATGGGTACAATCTAGGACGGTCAACGTCTAGTGCTAGTAGAAAAGTGATAGTGTTTAATTTCACTTAGGTTGTACGTATTTGGCAGAATAAAGAATAGGCCTCACACCTCAATGGGCAGCACTTGAGAAAGCATTGTGTTTTCTGGTGGATATTGAAAACTTGTCGTGCTATTCCTTATATTACTGTGTCAAGGCTGATGTTAACAGTAAAGACCTACATAGGAGCCTGCTAAATTAGCTAGCCTTGGAGCCTTTGATAAAATGAACTTCGTAATGTTCTTTCAATAAACTGTACCGATTTGCCATTTGCTGTAGCTATATATTTTAAATACCGGTCTTCCTTAAAAATATGTTACTTGGTCCAGAATGGAAAATATCTGTAATGATGGCATCTATATTCAAGTAGGGATCTAATCATGGAATGTTAGGCAGAAAAGCACCATTTGTCTCATTCAAGTACTATCCAATCAGGGCTGATTATGAAGAAGTCAGCTCCACTTTGTGTGACTTTGCAAATCTCTAAATTTAACTTAAGAACATGGTAACCTGCCAAATCACCCCAAGACCACTAAAACCTGCAAATTAATCACGCGAGTGTACTTAATCAGTTGCACTGAGACCCTAATAATCTGTTCACTTGCTCTGTAATTCTCTGTAATTCTGCTTGTTTCACTCGTTCTGTATGAGAAGCTCCTCATTTGCCCTTATACCTTAAGAGGTGTGTGTGTGTATGTGTGTGTTTTGTGTGTGTGTGTGTGTGTGTGTATTTTGTGTGTGTGTGTGTGTGTGTTTAACTTTGAGTCTTCCTAATGATTACCCATTCACTCTGAGCCTTTACCCATCCATTTGGAAATTCTATCCTCCCTCTCTAAGATTGGCAGAAAAGTCCCAAGAGCAGGGGCGTTGTCAATAATCTGATCTCATTTGTTGTTTTCATAAATTGTGTTCTTGTTTGTTCTACTGCCATTTAGATGTTCATTAATGTTTACAGGCAAGGGTGCGCAAAAATCGTCATTGGTAATTTATGAGGGTAGTAGGAACCTGACCAAATGCCCGTTGGGTCCAACAGTAAAATAACATTTTGTATGGAAGATTTGAAACTGGATATGCAAGATTGGTTTGATGGGAACACTTAGTAGGTGATGAAAATTTTTGTAAATATTTTGCCATACAATAATTAAGTATTTTTTGTCTGCATATATATATATATATTTTTTTTTTAATTTTTTTTTAAAGTTAGTTTATCTGAAATTAAAAAAAATACAACTTTAAAATTGGCCAGATAGCACAAAATCTGTCTGAGAATATAAAGTAATAAAGTAATGTTAATTTATTTATTTTTTTTAAATGTATTATGTGCTCCACTGACTCCAGTCAGTTCTTATTTAACATTGGATTGTCATGTGACTTTTCCACAAATAAAAATGTTTTGCATTCGATCATGTACCAGTGACATCCCTTTCAGAAATGCGCATGTACAGGGACGTCATCACACAAATCCTCATGATGTCAGTACACATTTGCTTTCTGTGGTTGGTCTGACATCAGTAGTGACATCAAAGTGCATTCTCTCCAGAGCAATACGAACAGCTAAAAGAATTGGGAATTCTTTAACAACATACAGAATCTCTTATGACTGTGTATATGACTTTCATTCTATATTGTTCCCTAAGCCCTTTTTCCATCCACAATACCATAAAGTCATGGCACTCTATGTGGCCTGGGTTCCATTTCTGTTTGGCTGTGCCAAATTACCCTTGTGCGCATGAGCCACCCAATGATTGTCATTTGTTTTACCATTACGCATCAAAGAGATTCAGCTACAAAGTGGAACACTGCAGAAGTGTGCAATGTCTGGATATGCTCAGGAAATAGGTAAAGACACCGCTGGGGATACAGAGTTATGGAACCCTGCTATGACTTTGGGCAAAAGTCAAAAGTGCCCCACCTGTGACTTTTATTGACACATCACAAAAATGCAGAATTAGTTGAATTGGGTATCACACACATTAATTGTATGCAGAGGTGTCTGCAGAAACTTTTCCAGGAGGTGCAAAGTCATAATATGTTCAGCCACATTCACATTTAGTCCATATTTTAATCAAATTCCAAGGGGACACATGCCACCTGTTGCCCTATGCTATGGATGTTCATGATTGTATGGCTGTCTTTCGTAGCTCTCGAAGTGTCACGCTTGCCTACCCTGCATCCTTCATGACATGTGGACCTTGTGAAGCTGCCAGTGAAGATCTGATCAGCCTGTTGTTGCTGCGTGTGCATTTCCAGAGCTCATTTAGACGATTAGCAGAACCATGACATTCTGCCGTCCCTGCCTGGGTCCAATTAGGGCAACAAATGAGGTTTAATGGAAGGATGGGGATTCTCATCACATCCATGCAACACATTGACGATTTAAATCCCTAGATATAGGATTCTTAACCATTCACTGTCGTGAGGGGCAGGACAATATTACAGGACAATATAGTAACGTGAGGGATAATGCTATATGCAGAGTGGTCTCATCAGACAGAGCAATATATCACCTTGCCGAGAGACACACACCGGCCACTCTGATCTAATGTCACATAACATGTCAGAGAGAAAATGTAAACCTGGATTTATTAATCAGTGATAGATCATGCAGGCTTGTAGTGCAAAATGCACAGTAATTTAATAACATTCCGTGTTGTGAAATAATTAATAGATCGGTATTATCATCAAAATTTGAGTGGTACATTCGAGAATGTAATTATTCAGGACTGTATAATAATAGTCAGAGGGATATAAGAGCAGGCAAGGCTATATGATAATGAGCGTCAATAATAAATCTCTAATAACGATGAACAGGTGTTTATCGTCTAAGTATATATACCTATTATTGCATACACCTTACACGTTATACCTTAAAAATATTAGTACAGACAGAGAAAAAAATATAGCATTCGGTTCTGAAGTCTGAACCAGAGGTATTGTCCCATGACTTCAGCAATGTTTGCAAATGAAAGCAGTTCTGAACAATTGTTAGAAGGCAGGTACACCTCATTCCACAGTAAACTGTGACATGAGCATAAGTTGTTATGGTGCTGGTAGTGTCTCTTTAACTCTATTATTCTGTAACTCATCAAAGTTGCTTTTTTTTACTGACCATAAATTTTTTGGGGGGGGTTTTGTCATTAAACGTAGTAATATCTTTGCATACTATATGGAAAAATAAGTTTACATGTTACTTACCAGAATGTAATGATAGAGGCATTTTTTGTGAATAATTTCACAATAAAAGGGTTAAAAAATATGTAATGTAGGTTATAGGTGTTGAACTCTAGGTTCAAATGGTCACAAACAGTTCTAGAATTCTGGATTGGTTTTGAATAGGAGGCTTTTAACCAAAATGATCACAACTTACTAAATATTGGTTATCCTACCTACTTATGTTAATGAAATATTACGGTGTTATTCAATAAACTCCAATTAAATTTGTTTGGAAAAACTGAGGCAAACTTCTCTTATTAAGACATTGCCAAAAATGATGAGTTTATAGTGAATAACCATGATTAGTGTCAGTGGAATAACTGCAAGGTGGATCATGGCAGTTGACTTGCGTCTTGTTGGTAAACTCATGGTAGACGCTTCCGTGTCCACTAGAGTTAAAGAAAAACACATTGAACAACTTATTCTGTTCACTCTTTATGTTCTCGATCTTTTTGTTCTCTCAATACTGTTTTATTTTTGCATTGTTGTTATATATTGAATTATATAAATTGGTATATGGTATATATTATATATATTGGTATATTGGTGGACTCTAACACAGTTTCACAATGTGTCTTCTTGTAGATGACTGCAGTGAAGATGAGTTCGGCCCTCACTAACCAGGACCAATGTGAGAATCTCCAACACAGTACAAATATTACAGGTGAGAATCACAGAACCTAAAACAGACAGAACCGTGCTGTAATCCGATACCTCGAGAGTTGGATCCTGACCTGGTACAATCACCAGAGAAAAACCTCCCTGAATGTAATTGTTAGTGACAACAGTACAGCCATGTAGGAGAAAAAGCCTCTCTATTGTACGGCCATCTCTGTGGTAGGATCTTGACTATACAGACACCTCTGGGGTGGGATTCAGACTATAGTAGAGTAAACAACGGGTCTGACCATATTACAGCTAACTTTGTGTAGGGTCCTGGCATTAATACATGGGACATATAGCTCTTCATAGGATTCTTATTAAATACCTCCCAACATTTCAAATGGACATAGAGGGACCTTTTAATTTTAGGGTTGCAAGTGGGGGTGTGGTCAGGGGTGGGAATATTCTAAGAAATCTTGGGTGACTTACTATACTAATAACAATTAAAACAAGTAAAATGTAATTTATAACAAGAACAATGTCTTAGAGAGACCATCTAATTGTCGCACGCCGGTGTTTCGCCGTGCATGCAAACTAGCTTCCCAATGCTTTCCTATGGGAAAGCATTGGATTGGCTGAGATCATCGATCTCAATGATCTCTACTAGAGAGGCGGACTGTTACGCCAGTGACCAGCACTTAGGAGAAATGTTAAGGAAAGCTCAACTTTTTAACCCTGTTACTAGGTGACTATAGTGTTAGGAATACACATTGTTTATTAAAATTATTATTAAATGCTACAGTGTTCTTTTAAACTATGTCTTCCTGTCTAATGTGACTAGCCAAGAAATTAGTAGTAGATTAGGAATATGATATTTTAAATGATGAAAATGATGTTAGCTATGTTTAAACAAGGAATTGGGATATAATGCATAGGTGCGGAGATAAAGACATTTGTTTTATTTAATGGTTGGGCTTATAGATACACAGAGCTTGGCAGGAAACCTGACCATTCGATATACTAAGGGTTTTATAAAGAAGATAGAGTTGAGAGGCATCAAAGTCATATATTACCTCAATCACTGGGGACCTTTAGGCCTCTGATGTCATAAATTGAAATATTTCTTTCATGTGACCTGAAGACATGGCCCCAGCTGTCACCGAGATGCAGTTTGTCAGATTTATAATGCCTGTTTCTGCTCAGCTTTCAAGAGAAAAAAAGCTCCTCTGGCAGTAAACATCAGATTTATAAACTGGCCATCAAGATATAGCTTGTGAGACACTGAAACCAGAAGACCTTTTATCAGAGAACTAAATATACAGCGCTGAGATTCCTGTTGCCTGTTTCTTTTAATAATATCCAAAAAGAGTACTTTATAATAAATACAGAATAGCCAGACAGATATATAAATTGGATGGATAAATGGATGGACGGATGGATGGATGGACAAACTGATGAGTGAATGGATGGATGGATGGAATGATCAGTGGGTGGGTGGGTAGATGGATGGATTGATGGATGGGTGTATGAATTGATGGTTGGTTGGATGGATTGATGGGTGGGTGGGTGGACTGATGATTGGCTGGATGGATTGACTGATGAGTGAGTGGGTGGATTGATGGACTGATCGGTGGTTGGGTGGCTGGGTAGATGGATAGATTGATGGATGGGTGGATGAATTGATGGTTGGTTGGATGGATTGATGGGTGGGTGGGTGGACTGATGATTGGCTGGATGGATTGACTGATGAGTGAGTGGGTGGATTGATGGACTGATCGGTGGTTGGGTGGCTGGGTAGATGGATAGATTGATGGATGGGTGGATGAATTGATGGTTGGTTGGATGGATTGATGGGTGGGTGGGTGGACTGATGATTGGCTGGATGGATTGACTGATGAGTGAGTGGGTGGATTGATGGACTGATCGGTGGTTGGATAGATAGACTGATCGGTGGGTGGGTGGGTGGATGGGTGAGTGGATGGATGGACTGATGGATGGGTGAATGGATGAGTGGATGGAATGATCGGTGTGTGTGTGGGTGGATTGATGGATGGAAGGACCGATAGGTGGGTGGAAGGAGAGAGCCTTGGATTTACTCTAAAGTGTGATTTCCACATCATTGGTGTGGCTGCAAGCTCATGGCTTGTGATGCCATGGAGAGTGGTTTAGCAGAACACGAGGGAACAGCATTCATGGATTTATAGCACCATAACCACTTCAATCAGCTGTGGTGATTATGGTACTTAGATTGACCATTTATACATACATACACTCACTTGTATCTTCCTTGCTCCACAGTTCCCAGTGCCATCATAGTTATCCTATATAAGGCTTAAATAATACATACAACCTAATCTTCAATTATTATTTTTATGCTACTGTTTGTTTTTTCCCCTATAAATATTTAATAAAAATAGATAGTTTGTATTTCATTTATTGATTTAGTGCTGTCCTCATCAGTCTCAAGACTCATCCATAATATTTTCTAGGGTCCTCTACATAAGAACACAGCTGAGCCAGTAGCTTTGAACTAAATAATTGACAGAAGAAGTAAATTGAGTTTTGTTTGTGAATTTTTGTTGCAGTCATCCCATTTTAACGAGATCAATGACCCTTTGGTTGCACCGTTGGGACTATTCCATAGGTTTAGGAATGAAAATAGATGTTAATGGAAGGTTTTCTCACTTTAAATTGTCATGTAGCAGATTGTTGAGGCAGGATCACTTGTGCATGATTGTGTTTGAAGATACTTATTCGTAGCTGTGAAAAATGTGAAATATTTTGTTCACTGCCATGGCATACAAACATCATTATGATTTCTTGGGAATAAACTGACCCCATGTCACGAAGGAGCCAAACATCTTTATCTTGTAAGCAATATGCTGTTCTATTTAGTTTTTAGTTCCTCTGATGGGAAAAAAAATAGTCAATTTTCAGTTTGTATTGAATAAACGTACAGTATTGATCATTCATTCTTTCTGTTCATTGTTGGGTTTTTCTGCCAATTTTATTTTTAATAGCCAGATCAGTAAATAACAGCATGTCAGATAAAAGAGAGTGAACATATCAGATCGAACATAATGAAAAGGTACAAATCAAAATGCTTGAGGATGATAAATCAAATCAAATTAATTAAGGTTGTAGTTAGTGTGAGATATTGTGTAAGTATATTTCTGCATAAATCTTGTATGAACGATAAGTGGAAAGTCTTGTAAGTACATGGTTACTTACCTCTTATAACTGCCATAAATATCGTTCTATCTCTCATATTATGGTAAATCCCAATCCCACCCCTACACACTGTGCTTGGGACCCCCAAGGATTTTGTATTATGAAATCTCTGAGCCATGATCATGGCTTTAGTCTGCTTGTTGGGCATCAGTGATGCAAAGAGGCATTGAAAGAACTGAAGGTGCTTGGCAGGGTCCATCGTCTCAGGAATGACCCTAATGTTTATATGACACATCCAACTGCTGTCTTCTAAGGCATCTATTCTCATTCAAGAGTAGAGTTAGCACAATTATGTGTGTCTGCTTTCTGCATTTATAGTTCTTTAGCTAGTAACTTGCTGATGTCTCTCAGCAATTATATAATATCCTCCATAGCTTGGGAGTAATGTCTCATCTTCCTGGATAAAAGTGGTACAGATGTTGTCTACCACTGTAGATACCTAATGGGGAAGGTGATTCACTACCCTAAAAGGGGTTTAAGCCCTAGAAAATGCTGTTAAAAAAATAGAATGTGGTGAAACACCCAAAAATTGATAAAATATGACCTTTAATGAAATCTGGTAAAAACTATGCAACGAATGGATATATAAATATAACAATAAAGTACTCTATAAAGAAAATATCAATACAAAAATAAAAACAGTGACAAAAAAGGGGGGAAAGAGTAGATATTCCCAAGGAATACCTGGGTGTTGAAATCCTAAGGACTGAGTACCAGCATATTCCTCCCAAAGTCTGGAACGGGGAAAATGGTCCTAAGGCTGTCAGTTGTTGCAAGCTAGAAGATTTTCTCTAAGTATAAATACAGGTGTATAAATATATCAGAGAGCGAGTTTGCGGTATCAGTCAGCAGTCCATAGATTATCCAGTAGTATCTGGGGTCATATAAAGAGGTATGTGTGTCGGTTGGTCCCTGTGCTAGTATAAAGTTAGTCAAAATAGATTTCTAATCCCTACATATTTGACAGCTGACACACGTTCCCCCATACGAGTAACAAAAAATGGATATAAATATCCCAACAAGTATAACAAAAAGTTGTAACAATTACTAAAAAGACTAAGTAAGTAAATGAGAAGTCTAATAGGAGTCCTGAGCGGAGGAGTTCGAGTACAACTAAAGAATTACAAATCACAGTAAGAAAAAAACGCCAGCTCCAAGGAACACCTAAAGTATACGCGCGTTTCACCCAGTAGACCGGCACGCTACGCGCGTTTCACCTGGCGATTGAAATTGGGATTATCAGGAGGGCTGGATGGATTTTTCCTGGATGGAATATGAGAAACACCTACGAGCCAGCGCATCTATTGACACCATCAGACCACATTGGAAAGGTGCCATCTTTGGCCCCAAAGCATAGAGGAAAAGGTCGATGATATCAGCAAAAACCCCCAGTAGCAATAACCTCTTCTTCCATGTCAGTTTCACCTTGACTTCTTGAGTCTGACAGTGGTCCTTCCATTTAATTTGTGAACCAATGCAAAGATTTGTTGTTTGTAAATTAGTTAGTTAGTACAAAGCATCAGACACAATCAGTCCACTTTTGTTGGAAGCGTGCTCATTCCTCAGTCCTCATTGAGAGAACTGCACTTTTTATCTGTTATCTTTTTTTAGTCTCATGTTTATCTCTATATTTTTTATTTTGCCATGAAATTTAGTGAATTGTTTTCCCTCTACTCCATTATAGGTGTTACGTGCAACGTATCCATTGACATTATTGGGACATGTTGGCCTCGATCTCCAGCTGGACAGGTGGTGGCCCGACCCTGCCCTGAATATTTCCAGGGGGTTCAATATAATACAACAGGTAAATACTTTTCAACCATGATCCGAAATTATGGCAAAGATTCATTTGTGCTCATTTGGAACAAAATGCATTAGAAGTATGAATTGGCAGAGTTATCACACTTATTGTGTGCAAAGTGTCCTCTCTGATGGACATCCTTGGAGATGATCAGAATTGGTGGCCTCAAACTAATTAATATAGGTCTTCATTTAATATGTTAGGGTTAACTTTTCAAAAGATTGAATATTTTTGGATATATATATATATATATATATATATATTAATATTTTTTTTAAACTAAGCAATCTACAGACAGTAAAATATACAGTAAATATCTTGATGGCTTTTCATAAACTTACGGGGTGGTTTTTTTTAGATTGCTGGTTTAGAATATATCTTAAAAATCTGATTGTGTAAATATACACAATTTAAACGTTTCATTGATTTGTTTGTCTTTCCAGAAATATTGATGGGATAAAACGTATTAGACATTGTATTCTAAGTTAATCGAGAAGAGTCCTTGCCAGATCTCACTTTCATTCATAGGAACATTTTAACAACCATAACCCCTACATCCTGTTACAGTGTACAGCCAATATATATTTGTTAAAAATCTCCAAAAGATTGTAAACATACTGTATGTTTGTATCTTGGCATAATATCTACATTCAATAAGTTTAGTTAACTGGCCAAACTAAGCATCTCTACTACATAAAGCATTGCAAGCTGTTGTTGCAAGCTGCACAAAAGTCCTGTAGTTTACCAAAGTCATCCTTCTCCCTATTTTGTTTGTAGAATTCAGCACTCCACTGTCTGTACAATGGGATAGATTAAAGGTAGTCCCTCTGCAAAATGGAGTCCTGCTTAGAAGTTTGTTTTTCCACCTGGTGAAAAGTGACATTTGTAGAATCGCCGCATGTTCACTGGACTCCAGGCCACCAAACAAATTACCAAGCAATTGAAGGGGTCTTTCACACCCCAAAACCAGGCTAACTGAGCCCACAGCACACCCTCACGTTAAGGGGAGAAAGACCAAGAAGCAAAGGGCCGAGAAACCGAATAAGGCCATGAACATCGGCGATCTATGGCACCAGGCCTGAAGGGAAACAGAGCCCAACATGGCCAACCTCTCAGACGACTCAGATCTCCGAGGACTTCTCACTGGGAAGACCAGGAGGTCAGATGCCTGAGCAGAGAACCAGTAAACCCACAACCCCTCACCTAGACTCGGCCCTGGTGACGACGGCAATCATGAAGGGCCTCTTAGCGGAGCTCTAACACATGATCCAGGCCGACATGGCCCAGCTCCGAGGGGACTTACGAGGCCTCATGACCCGCATGGGCGCTATAGAGAGCAACACCCAGAAACAGGCCCAACACACAACGCGTCTTCACACAGCCATACAAGAGCTACAAATCCAACAAAGCAAAATGGATAAAAAGCTCGCAGAGCTGGAGGACCGGAGGCGCACACCGAACCTCAAGTTAAGGGGCATCTCAGAGTAGATCCCGGAGAAGGAGCTACCACACTTCCTACATCGACTTCTCACAGGACTGCTAACCCATAAGAAGGCCAAACAGGTGGGAGTGGAGGGTCTATTCCGACTTCGCAAACCAACGTCAGAACAGCTCTCATGAACGAAACAACTCACCATACCCCTTTGAAGGAATGAAAGTGACGTTCTATGCAGACCTGTCCGGAAGTACCACGGCGTGGAGGAGGTCACCTAAGCCTTTCATGGCGTTACTCCGAACCAACGGCTTCGGAAACTGCAACGCGCACTGGAGATACTACACGGCACCGACACACACTCTGTCAGCAACCTCAAGGAGGCAGCCAACCTGCTACCTAAGCTGGAACTACCAACAAACGCCCTGGACACAGTGCGATCGAGCACGGCGGCATCCCTGCCTCACACCTGGAATCTCGCAACAACACGTACCTTCATACCACAGGGAGCGTGACAAGAAGAACGGGCACTACCTGAGTGGCTCCAGATAGCCTGCAGAGACAGGCCTGAACTTGCCTCACCACTGGAGTTGTGTTTTCAGTTAACTCTATTGGGTCTCACTAAACTTTACGTTAATAGTGTATGTTACCGTTTTTCTCTTATGTTGATTTTTTTTTTATTATTATTATTTTTATTTATTTTTAAAAGCTTTCTCAGTAGGCACCAATCTGGGTACCCTATCCTGGACTAAGACGGAGCAGCTCAGAAACCACCCCCGTGAGAACTGACACACAGGCACACCTACCTTGCCCGCGGCAAGACGGAGCCCTCAGCCCACACATCACATACAGCACTTATACAATGCTACAAGCGATGCCTGAGCTCCAGCCTAGAGCTAATCTTAGTTACCACCCATTATCAATCAGTACACAGCCAAACTTGGTTCTCGCAATGCATAGCTTCCATATTATCAGTTATACCACACGCAGACCACACAATCCAAGTTCTTACACATGTTCCTATGTTACATTAAGCTCACATTTGCATTACAAAATATTAAAATACTGTGCATATGCTCATGCCAATGCTCACCCTGTAACCGTCGTGCGCGCTGTTGTGGCGCTTGATTTAACAATGTACTTACCTGCACAACAAAAATTAAAATTTTTAAAAAAGTGTCATTTGTATGGAATGGGATGTACTATAAACTTAACTTGTTAAACTGTTGGACCTGTGTGTTTATGAAGCTGGGAGAAGCAGAATTAATTCTTTAAACCCTTCCCGTTCTCTTCTTCGATGAACGTACTAAACGTATACCTTAATAATAATAGACAATAATAGACAATAATAGACAAGCTTAACTTTTCCTTCAATTAATGATAGCATCGAGCTCAGCGGTGCCCCAGAAGTTGTAGAACTACAACTCCCATGATGCGTTGCATGTCTTTAGAATGCCTTTAGCATGACAAAGCATCATGGGATCTGTAGTTTTAAAAAATCTGGAAATCTACCTTTTGGGCACCACTGATCAAGCGGCATATAGGACTGCTAGAAGTCCTTATATAAAGTGAGTGGAAGAGTTACTGATATTAGTAAGTTGTTCTAGTCACATAATATTTGGCTATAAATCCCATTTAACACTATACCATTTCCTGCGATCACCACTCTCTTGTTCGCGCCTTGCTGTGCAAATCTGTGATTGTTTCTGGGTATTATCGCAAGATTTTTATGTTTAGATAGACCCTCCTGACCCCAAGAAAATGAGACACAACATGCATCTCATTTCTCGTCCCAACTTCCAAAAATCCACTCGAAAAATGACTTTGGCTGCCGGTAATGAGAAACCAAGACAGGCTGGAAACCAATTATTTTTGTATATTTTAAAGGCAAAGTGTGAAATCAGGCATGCTAGATGATGCCTGAAAATGACTTGTAAACAAAACAATCTGTACAATGCCTAGACATTACATACAATGCCTGCGTATAATCAGTAAAACATAAATTAAAGTTCTTAAAGGGACACTCCACTGCCCAAATGCAAAATAGATGAAAAATCACTTTTTATTAGATATACCCCCAAATGAAAACATGCATGTATTTAATTATGTATTGTTTCATTAGCGGTATATCTAAAATCAGCTTGCAAAACCTGCATTTCTCTTGTCTGCTGCTTTTGCAAGCTCTTCCCTTCTAACCCCGCCCAGACTTTCTGTGTCTGTCCAATCACAGACATCCCCAATGCAGCTCAATGATAAGTCTTTGTAAGTCAGGTGCTCTGGACAATAGTTGCCTCTTGAGGTCAGCTGCATTGAGCTAACAAAACCAGGAAGTAACATGACCAGTTGCTCGCTCGAAAGCCAAGGGGGTGTAACCAGGTTAATTTATAAAATATTCAATTTCTATTGAAATCTGCACTTTTTGCAAAATAAAAAAAAGACACACTGCATTTCAGCAAGCTGGAGTGAGGGGCCTGGAGTGACCCGTTAATTTTAATGTAACAATAACCTTACAACTTTCATTTTTGGACATATTTCAGTATGATTCTTCATGTTGCTATTTTGTCCTTTTTCATATTTTGCCTAAAGATATTTTTACTTTCTGTAAAATTCTTAAACATATATATTCATCTCTATTACATACTCATAGATTGTAAGCATAGATTGTATCTCTCCATCCTTAAATATCCCCTTTCCATAATTCTAAAGTGCTGTGGATTATGTTAGCACTTTATAAATACTTGGCATAAAGTGTATTTGTCACCTCTCTAGAAGTGACAGTTCCTCATTCCTTTACCACTGTAAATGCTTTTGAAGCGGCTACTGCGGTGAGATATGCAAGAAAGGTTAAAAAAAAACACACTTACCTCTGCAATATCTCTGCTTGTAGGGCAACATCATCTTGCCTTGGGTACACCTCAAGATTCTATAGAGAAATGCAGTACAAATGCATGCACTCTCAAGCATTCCTTCAATCACACTGCAGGTGATAATTGCAGGGGATAATTCATTTACATTGCAGTGGATTATTCATTTACATGGCACACTTTGGCAGTGTCATGACTGGCATGCAATTTAAATTAAAAAATAAACTATAAATAATAATAATAAATAAAGATTTTAAAAAGCCAAAACACATAGCTAAATAGTCGCTAGTCTTTTTTTACAACAGTGAGCAGCCACTGGTTGTTCGCTGTTTAGTAGACATGCTCCTACTCGCGGCACAGTGGGAAGGAGCAGGAGGGAGGATTTAACCTCTCTTTTTGGGGGCTTTCAAATTCTTAGTAGATCGCAACCTAATCCCTGTGGGATTGCCATAAAATAACAAAAAGGAGTTATCTACTAAACAACTCCCTAATTTGGTACCCTTAAATATGGCAATCCCATAAGGATACAAATTTAAGGAGCTATCTAATAAACAGCTACAAGATGCAGCCATGGTCTGTAACACAATTCAGAATTTCATTCGTCCGAATGAAATTCCGAAAACGAAAATAATGACCGAATTTTGTCTGAAAATGAATAAACATACAGACAAAATTCAGTTAGTGCGAAACTAAATTTATTTTTGTCCAAATGTATTGGGAAGAAATCTAAATTTCAGCGACACCCAAATCTACTACATACCTTACTAGTGACACCTGCTACTGGTGATATTATTCTGCACTGTGTGATTTATATCAGATTTAGTGCTCATTGCCTTGTGCATAATAGCAAGATATAGTTCTTTAATGCATGACACATACTAAGGGGACCAGTGGCATATAGATGGTTAATTTATCCCTTACAGGACTCACTGACACTTTCCACAGAGTAAGAATTGATTACATTGTTGTTACAAGGGCGTTGTGAAGTATTGAGTTGGATGTCTACGAGGGTTGTCTGTTGCTGTCTTGGTTTTTAGCATTTCATCTGTTCTTAGCTTGAGTGTTGCCTCTCACCCATTAGTCCTGCTTTCTTACTCAATCAGGCTGCAGGCGACCAGAGCCAGCGTGGGATGCAAGGAATGTCACAGCATCAATCTTCTCTCTGGCACAGAGAGGTCCTTGGCTTCGGGACACTACAAGAGAGGGGAGGTGACATGCAGCTCAGAGAGAGGGAGCAGGCCTTGCATTCAAATTAGACTGACGCTTTCTGTTACTCTTTTACACTAGTTTAATATTACAGCTGAGCTGCTAGGGTAACACTGGAACACTTTAGCTATGGGACATCAAGGAGAACATGTGTGACAGAAGCTTTCATGCCACAGTCTTTTGAAGTGGCTTGAAGGCCAGCCTTATGCCCACAGACTATTGGCCTAAAAAGGGCTATTGTCACTGTGGGGAGAGGTATGCGGGACTCTGACCAGTGGCGTCACAAGGGGGGTGCGAGGATGCGGACCGTACCAGGGTGCATCACGGGAGGGTGACACCACTGACACCAGCAGGGCCGGCACGTCCACGTCCATTAACGGCACAAGCGGCCGCCTTCGGGCACACCGGCTGGGGGGGCACTAGTTTGGAGTGACAGGCAGGAGGTGGGCGCACAGCTCTCCCTCCTGGCAGTCACTCAGTCAGTGTAGCGTGACCAAGTGGAGCAGTACGCAGCACGGTACAGAAACTTCTGTTTCCTGTACCTGGCCGGACTGAAAGGAAGTGCTCACTGAGAATGCACTTCCTGTCAGTCCGGCCGGGTACAGGAAACTGAAGCTCCTGTACAGAAGGAGCACTATGGGATGGGGGAGCGGGTGGGGGAAGAACACTATGAGACAGGGGAGAGGGGGAGAAAAAACACTATGGGACAGAGGAGGGGGGAGAAAGAACACTATGACACAGGGGAGGGGAGAAAAAGAACACTATGAGACAGGGGAGGGGAGAAAAAGAACACTATGGGACAGGGGAGAGAAAGAACACAATGGGACAGGGGAGGGGGGAGAGAAAGAACACTATGTGACAGGGGATGGGGGAGAAAGAACACTATGGGACAGGCAATGGGGGGAGGAAGAACACTATGGGACAGATAGAACACTATGGAACAGGAGGGGGAGAAAGAACACTATGGGAAAGGGGGGAGAGAAAGAACACTATGGGACAGGGGAGAAACTAGGGGAGGGAGAGGAACATTAAGGGGGGCACTAAGGTACAAAGGAGGGAAGGGAAAAGGAACACAGGTAGGGGGGACCATTAAAAGAGAAGGGAGAGGAACACTAAGAGGGGGGGAGGAACATTAATGGGAATGGGGGGCACTAAGAGACAGCTAAGGGGGGAGAGGAACACTAAGGGACAAGGGAGGGAGAGGAACACTAAGGGACAGGGAAGGGTGGAGAGAGGAATACTAAGTGACATGGGAGGAAGGGGAGAGGAACACTAAAGGACAGGGGATGGAGGGTAGAGGAACACTAAGGGACATGGAGGGGGTTGGGGTGATACCGTGAGTTACCGCACCGGGTGACACCAACCCTAGTGATGCCACTGACACTTACTGTGCTCCCCAGTTGGACTTGAGGACCTCTGGGTATTGCCTGGACTAATTTTACACCTCGAGCACCTGACCAGGAGATACCCTGAAATACTCTGAAACTGTTCCTTGGATCGGGACTCAGTGGAGGTCCAGTAAATCTTTAAGTGGGTATCACTCAGTCCCCCAACCTCCACATTGAGCGCTATTTGGAGGGGAAGACAGGAAGGCAAGGAGGCATCTGAGAATAACTTGAAATTGAGTACGCTCCCTTCCCTAAGGGAAAACTTTAACACACTGTAACTCAGGAGCGAATTCTCCAATCAGGATGCTATTTGGCCAGTGAGGACACTTGTGTGGGTATATGGTCCAGGAAAAAGGGGTACTGTTAGATATTTTGTGTACTGTGCTCCAGTACTGATGGAACAACAGGGAGATGATTGTGTTAGCTGGGGAAAATGTTATTAAGTCCCCAGACCGAATGCCACCAGGGAAGGACACCTGCACTGTGCATTGCTTTGCATGGAAGACCCCTTGCAGGGAGAGTCAAAACTGTCTAGTATAAGTAGCTGTACGCTGTACAATAATGATTAATTCTACCCCCTACATTCAGATTCATCTAATGTGTGAGGAAAAGGCTAAGGTAAAGCTATAATCACTTTTCTATACTGGAGAGAGAATCATCTCAGCTGTATTCAATGCAGCCTGGTGTAGGATGGAAGAGGTTCTCAGAGACCCCAGTTAAGTTTCGGTGACTGGGTCTGAAGTGCTCTAGAGTCCCTGGCAGCAGAGAGGAAGCTGACCCGGTGGAGGTACTCAGTCAGAATACATGAGCTCCTTCACAACACGCAACAGAAAAAGGCATTGGACAAAGGTGTCAATAACTCAGCATTTCCACCTGACCATTATGGACACATTGTTATCGTGACTGAGCTCCCCTACTCTTGCTGAGTACCTCAGCCAAGTCCAGCATACTAGCTGCTATCAGGGACCCTGCAGCACTTGAGACCCAGTTTGCGAAGCTTGACTAAGGTCTTTTAGGAACTCATCTACTAGCCTTTTTAGGGACTGTTCCTTAAACATGTTGTGACAAGCATTTAAAATACAAATATACAGAACATTGGAGAGCGAGCAATTATAATTAATACATGAACTATATAATACAAGTAACATTTTCAAACACAGTAAAAAGAAACAATATATGCATTTAACTACTTATTTGGTGGCCCTAATTTGCATACCAGCATCATGTAAATGAGCAAATCTCTATTCAGTCAGCAGAGGGCGCTGCAGAGTTATCAGATTAACACTGCATAGTTTGGTTTAAAATTTCTACCATCTTGGGACCAAGTCAATAGTCTATGGTCAAGAGGCTGGCCTTCAAGCCTCTCCAAAAGGCCATGGCATGGGAGCTTCTGTCATAGTTTTCATCATAGCTACATACCAGTGTCAGCAACATTACTAATGTTCCAAGCTTATTGGTTATGATATATCACATGCAATGCATAGTCTTGTCTGTGCAACTTAAAAGGTTTACAATTCAATCTCCAAAATGAGATGTCAATAAGCTGCTCTAAAATAATTTTTTGTTGTGTTACTTTTATTCACTGTATCACATTACGCATTCACAGTCACGTGGAGGTGAACAAAATAACAGAAACACCTATCACAGCATTATTATCAAGGAGCTTAAAAGGGACAAAGCCACCCTTTACCCTCAGAACTGCTTTAGGCATCCAAGGAATGCTGTTGTACAAGTACTCTACTCTGTGTATTCATATACAGTACATTACCATTTGTCATCCAGCTCTTACGAAGATGAAGGAGGTAGAAATTGAATGTGCGCTCTGCGGTCCAGCACTTCCAATACTTCCAATAAGCATTTGATGCTTATTGTTTAGATCTATTGATCATGGGAAGCCAAGAAATATGTTAGACTTAAAATATTTAGGAAAACGTGCATGAATGGGTTTGCAATATGTGTATTATCATTCTGAAAAATCATGAAAGAAAACTGTTTGCACCATAAGAGTACTCTGTACTCTAAAATAGCTTACAATATGGCCATCATACGGACATGTGTTAATTAAATCTAATGGCTTCACCAAGATGGCTGTCCTCACGATTATGGATCCTCCACCATTTTGAATGCTGCCAACAGATTTTGTTTGTTGCATGCATCCTTAAACTTTGTTTTTTTTCTAAACATAACCCTTTTCTTTTTTCCATTGCACAGTTGCCCAGATTTTGTACACACCGTGCACCGAATTATTGACTAATTTCTATGCTTGTCGCAATCATTTACCAACAAGTCAGTAATTTCAAAAATGGTAATCACTATCGTTTGTGTTTGCCAGCAGTTTCAAAGCTGCAGAATTTGTTTACCGAATTTAAATTAGCACCTGCTGAAGGTTTCTAGATTGAAATCACGAAGATCATTGCCTAATGCAAGGCAGCAACCTGTTTCTACACGTCTTTTATATCCATGCTATACGGTTAGGTAGAAAACTGGAACTTCAGTTTCAAATTGGTTGAAGTGGAATAACATGTTGACGGTAGCAGACATGGTGGACTACACAGGCTCTAACCGTGGTTTGTACAGAATATCGCCAAACACCTATTGATTCATACAAATGCCAATAGCTTGTGCACTTTATTGAACATGTTGCAGAATATTACACTCCCATATCATGTATACTTCAATCCACAGCTGGTGTTAGAGAAAGATTTCAAAACCTTGTCCTCCACATGTTGATGGCCTACAATTACCAAGATTCCTTGAATGCAATAGATCGACAGATAATCTGCTGGGGGCCTGAGTTTGATATGCCTGCCCTAATTGTTTTCATCGATGTCTCTTTGGAACCTTTAACTGTGTTTCTGTCACGTTACCTGGACCTGTGCATATTGACACTGTGCATCCATCCTGTGACACTTTTGACACACAGTATTAGTCCTGTGTCGATATTGACGAGTGGCCTACTTATGCGTCCATAGTGACGCCAAGACTCATTCTATCTTTCATAGTGATGCAAAATACCTCCTACTTTACTTATATGTCCTAAGATCTGTGTCATAATTGGCGCCAAGCCAATCCACATTGCTCAAACGTCCCGTTTTAACATCATTATTCACATAGATCAATTACAGTTCCTTTCTGGCTACTACTCATTGCCCTGTCATGTTTTCTGTATACCTGAGAGTGTTTTATACTGTTTTGGCTATTCTGTTATTTGACCCTGGCTTGTCTCACTACTCTTACTCTCTGCAACCCTGACCTTGACTTCTGAGGTCCTCTGTCCTCTGTCCTTGACTTTGACTTGTACACATTATTTATGTGTCTGCTAGCAGACATTTAGTTTATCTGACTGTGGTGCCAGTATGTCCATTCTAATAACTGGTACGCACTTCTGATTTGTCTCCCCTTAGGTTTGTCTGTTAGGGTAGAGCTAGTCCCAACACTGATTTCTGTTTACGTCAATTTCTAAGTAGCATATTCACCTTTTTCTATAACGACAGGAGAATATATGTTTTGAAGTCTAGCTTTCCATAGTCTCTATTTCTTATTTTGCTGTCTCCCTCCTGTCTCCCACACTCTTCCACACTGTAACACGTTCTACACAGTGACAGCTACCCACACTCACCTTCCTACATACATCCTTGTATAAAAAACAGGTTTTCTCAAAAAAGGTTGTAGCTGAGGTAAATGTTTAATGCTTGCTTTTACTGTGATCTGTCGTTACAAGTAGAGGAAAATACAAGGTTTTGTTTTTTTACATGAAGTAGGTGTCACTGTGATTCATTTCAGAAATTTTTTTACTGTGAGAGAAAACATTTTATCTCAATTACTCCAATACTGTGCAGACACGTGCTTGTGCGTGTGTGTGCATATGCATGTCCATGTGCTTGTGTGTGTGTATGTTTGTGGGGAAGTGTCTTCACTTGCTTTAAGGAGTGATCTATTGTACTCATAACTTTGTGAGCATTTAAGGAAGTTTTTGACATGAATGGAAGACTTTTTTTAACCAAAATCTGGATATTTCATTCTAAAATTCAAAGCACTTTACTCACTACAACTACAATTTGCTCTTTAGTGAGTAGACTATCCACAGTGAATTAATGTCATATTGAGTTTAGTACCAGAGTGATGCTGTAAATGTAAGAAATATCCTGAGTGTCCTTCACTTTGTCCCATTCTGTCCTGTCCCAGAAGAGCAAATAAAGAACTGCTGTGTCATGACCTCGAATGTGTTGTCGGCCTGTTAGAAGGCTGCTGTTGAGAGTGATGAATGAGAACCTACTCTTGGGCAAAACTTATCTCTGTACATTGTATTATTCCTGTGTTCCTGGGATTGTGTCAGGGCAGAGGTCTGTGCCCATAGAATACGTAATGGTGGGAGGGTTAGTCCACACCCATACCATAAGACCAGTGCTGGGAATGTTGAGCCACATCTCATAATAATTTTTTGAAGTTTAAAAGTTTGTATTTATCTATAATTCATATCTATGTCACAATAGTAGAAAGCCTTTCTGTGCCACGCGTCAGTTTGTGGTGATTATCCAGAATTCTATTCAGTATCTCTCGGTGATGAGAAGGTTCCAAAGTGGGTGGACATTCCAGCTTATGCCACACTATCGATGGAGAGGTGTTCCTTTCAGAAATGTACAATCTGTGTCACCGTGCAGTAAAATAATCTGTCCCTATCCCCTGGTTCCATTCTGTATCACACCCAAAGAAGGAATTTCATAATTTAGCCTTTTTTGTTTTCATTCTGAGGCCTTCTACACTGGAATGGACAGTTTCAGTGTTTCCATATCTCTAGATTCATTTGAGGATAAACGGCTTTTATATTCTGTCTGTTTTTGTCAACAGCCCTTAACTCTAAGCCTGTGTATTCTTCTGGTCACAGGTAATGTCTACAGAGAGTGTCATTTAAATGGAAGCTGGGCAGGAAGAGGAGATTACACCCAATGTCAGGAAATCCTGAAGCAGGAGGTATGACATTCTCCATCAAACCGAAAGTAACTTTTCACCCTGAATCATTGTCCATTCATGGCCTTCAGATGATGGACCACCCAGTTTATTGTATCTCCTTGTGTATTAATATTTTCATGTTTTTTTTCCTCCTTGCAGAAGAAAAGTAAAGTGCATTATCATATCGCAATCGTGATTAATTTCCTGGGCCACTCCATCTCCTTGTGCGCGCTACTGGTGGCATTTATTTTATTTTTGAGATTGAGGTAAACACAACACCTCTCGGACTAAATAGACATACGTCTAAATTTAAGCATTGCTCTTTGCTGCCCAAGTATTTCTTAATAACGCCCATTGTTTAATTTGTTATTTCAAATCTCATCTGTCATCTAGAATGTTTTAAAGATTTCTTGGTAAAAAAAAAATATTTCCAATGACTTTTCTTAAAAAGACAAAAGATAGGCAACAGGAAAGAGGAGGTCTTCATGAGGTTGAGTAGCTGGCCTTTGAATGATAAGGAATTGTAATAGTTAAAAAAAAAATCCAAGAAACAGGTAAAAAAAATTCACCTCATTCATAGCTCTTGATATCTGTTGCAGGAGTATACGATGTCTTCGAAATATAATCCACTGGAACCTTATTACTGCGTTTATTCTTCGTAATGTCACCTGGTTTGTGATGCAACTTACACTGAGCCACGAAGCCCATGACAGCAATGTGGTGAGTTACCTTCATTATCTGCCAAAAAAGGCATATGCATAAATGTATAATACAAAGCGGGACCATTTCATTTTAGGGATGTGACTGAGGGTGTGGCCAGGGCTAGGGTTGTTCTAAGAAATTTTAGGTGGCTTACTAATAATTCATGGAACTAAAATTTACTAAAGAACAAGAACAATGTATCTTATTTACACAGACTGATTTCTAAACACATTTATTGTAGTTTAAAGACACATTACTGGGAGTATTATTACTGTGGAGCTCTGTTATACACTCAGACACATTTCTGGGAGTATTATTGCTGTGGAGCTCTGTTATACACACTGACATAGAAACAATATGGAGCTTCTAGAAAAGAGGGACATTAGGATAGAAAAGAGGGACAGAGGGATTTGAGCCCTAAGTAGGGACTGTCCTTCCGAAATAGGGATGGTTGGGAGATATGAGATAACACGCAAAGCTGTTTTAGGCAAACCATGATGTGAATCAAAAATTAAAAAAAACCTATTGAAAAGGAGGCAGTCATTTAACAAGGAATTTAAGAATATTTTAAAACACTGTGACTATACTGATATTTAGATTGTATGCATTGTATGAAGCTTCTGTAATTGCATGCCAATTTTTGCCAAATCCTTTAAGTGTCACTTAGAATTATTGCATCACGGTACAGTTTAATGAGTTTGATAGAGAGACAGACAGATTGTCAGACAGTCAGACACAGAATGTATTCCATAGCCAAAACGTTGTACCAATGGCAGCCCTGAATGTACTGCTATATAAGAGATTTTCTTTGCAGTCTGTTTAGTTAACTATTGTACGTAGAGCAGATTAAAGGATCCCATTTGGATAGAGCGCCTCACAGAGCCGGGACTTTTTACTTATCTTTAAATACAGAGTGTGTTTGCAGTGCCCTTTTATTAATAGCTGAGATTCTCCTGTCCCTGGTATGTCTCAGGTAAACGATGAGCGGCCTGGTACCGTCTGCAACTTCCGTTCAGTTCTCTGCATCTGACTCAGCACTTTGTATGATGCTGAGGGTTTGTGCAGTGGCTGCAAGTTCTCCTGCAAAGTCTGCTGTTTTGATCGATGATATCCAATAAGGGATACATTGTGTCGGATTAAAATTCCCACAACACTGAGCTTCCTGCGTGTATAAATGAGGTGTTCTATACTGGAAACAAAAATATGAGGAATGTTTGCGCTTGGAGTTTGAATCAAACACAAACATTGTCACAATATATCGGATGACACCAAGTAGAACAACATTAAATGCTCGATATTGCTGCAGGAGAAGGACAGATGTCAAAAACAATAGACATCTTTTTCTGTTTGCTGGGGAGAAAAGATTGAGTGATATTTCAATGTTCTAATGCAAAACATGAACTTTGACTCAACGTAGAGTGACATAAGTAACCATTCGCCTAGTCTCAGCTCATAGAGAGGATGCCAACACACCCTATAGGCTCCGGAGATAAGATGTTCCATCTATCAGAAGGAAACATAGAGGGTATACTCCATCCAATTAACATTGACAGAAAGGGGGCATTACACAAAGAGTAGATGACTATCCATCAACTAGAGGTTGACAAAGAGGGAACAGTCTTTTCACTACAGGGCAACAGACAGTGGAACTCCAATCCACGAGAGACAAGCAGAGAACATTCCATCACCAGAGACAAGACATTCCATCCACCACAGGGTGACAGAGGGAAGACATTCTACCCAGATCTTAGTAACTAGTAAAGTTACCTTTCATATTCCATAATGTGATGGAGATTGAAACTTCCATCCACCATATCGTGATAGAGAGGGAACATTCTATACACAACACAGTGACAAGGAGGGGACATTTCATCCACCATAAGATGACAGAGAGGGGACATTCCACCCACCATAAGGTGACAGAGAGGACGGTCAGTCTAAAGCATAGCAGATCCCATTAGGATGATGCTGGCTGAGTAACTGAGGAAGCCTCTACATGAGGCGAAACGCGTTTTGCAACCAGAGACTACCACAACAAGGTCACCTTCAATTGTAAGGTCTTGTTTTTTACTTTTTTTGTGCACTTTATTAATAAAGCACTTTAACTACTTATACTTATCTGCGAGAGTACCACCTCCTGGCAATATAAAGAAGGTAGTGGGATCCTTAATCCCACAACGCCGGAAGATTGAGCCTTATTATATAGGCTCTTGTTTTGTGAGTGTATTTTCACATATTTCCTTTTCATTCTGAGATTTAGACAATATTGCACTATTATGTGTTTTTATTTGTTCTACCTCTAGGTAATATCAACATTTGCTTTAAACAAGAAGATACTCCACCCTATATTGTATGTAAACTTTGTTTGACGTAAGGGCGAAGGGTACTCACTAAGGTGTATGAGAATCTCTTGTTTTATTTCTTTATGTATGTGTTCCACTGGTAATATTGTATTCTTTTGATGCTGGCTGAGTGTTGCATTAGTATTAAGACTGAATTAGAACTTTTTATTCTGTTTTTTTTTTAACTATTGTATGTTTGAGATCCCCATTGGACCGAGCTCCTTGCAGTGCATGGAGCCAATGATAGAATGTATATTTTATCTACTGTAGGATGAAATGGATATCTGCAATGTTTTTGACATGGGTGACATGCTTGTTTTTTTTGCATTCTTATCTCACCACCTCTTTGTCATTACTGTTTCGCTGTACTTCTCTCCACAGGTTTGGTGTCGCCTGGTAACCATCGCTCACAATTATTTTTACGTCACCAACTTCTTCTGGATGTTCGGAGAAGGGTGTTACCTACATACAGCCATTGTTCTGACTTACTCCACTGACAAACTGCGCAAGTGGATGTTCATTTGTATTGGCTGGTGTGAGTGTCTTTGTCACCATAGGATTCTAGCACAGATTTCATATCATATTGTTACCTAATGCATGTGTGACCCTATTATAATTCAGACTTCATTGCTGACCCCTGTTTTGCTGTTTCACCCTGAGGTGGAAGGATCGGCATGAGTGTGTAATACCTATCATAACCATGACTTATACATAGTATAAAGTCCAGATAAAGATTAAAAAAAAGAAATTTCTTTAAAAATTCAAACTCGATGCGTAAAAAACTCAAACTCTAATTAAAAAAAGAGAAATCATTAATATGGTTTCATTCTATGGAATTAAAATAAGCAGATGCCTTAGATACTACATCTTGACTCCCATTTTCATAGAGTTTATAATGCTCTAATGTATCCATTTATAAATATCTGAGTGGATCTTTTGTGACAAGAATTTTTGTGGATCCATTCTCTGTCTGGAATTGCAGTGGAAAAGTGATCAGAAATCCCACATGTCCAGTGACTCGGTGTATCAGCTATATCCATGTTCTGTGGTGTGGAAGGAAAGTATGGATCTGTGTTCCAAAGTTCTAAGAATGTCCTGTTTCCGCAGGTATTCCACTCCCCATCATCGTGACTTGGGCCATTGGCAAACTTTACTACGACAATGAAAAGTAAGGAAAAAGCAAAGTGGATGGGGAGTTCAAAAATTGAATTTGTGAGAACTGTTAGAAATGGGGATTGTACCAGCAGAGAGGGGAAATAATAATGAACAGAATAGAACTGAGTGCATTTTTTTTTATCCAAATGGAATTGTGTGGGAGATCATGAGGTAGGATTGATGGATGAGAAATTGAAATGTTGAGTAGATGTTGCTGGGAGAAACTGAGGATGTAGGCAATGGATATGTTGAACCATATTGAATATCCAAGAACAAGTGGCACGTCTCATGACAGATTACAAATCTATAAGTGAGCCAGTGTATGAGTCTTGGGTTTGGACTGTTAGTTCTGATACTTTGTGTTATTCTAGATGCTGGTTTGGTAAAAAGGCTGGAGTATACACTGACTTCATCTACCAGGGTCCTGTCATCCTTGTACTGCTGGTGAGGACCCACATAAACATCCATCCATCCAGCCATCCATTCATCCATCAACCCATTTGTCCATCAATCCATCCAATCTCTCAGTACTTACGACTCAGTGAATGTTTAAATCTCTTCCACAGATTCTATAAATCTCACACACAGTCATATGTTACTTACTCGGTATCTATGGTACCTACATACAGCCATCTATATCTATGCTTGCCTTAGTGACAGTCACACACTGTTGGACTTTGCTGCATAGTTTAGCATGTTAACCATGAATAGACAATTTAATGGCAGGGCAGACATCACAGAGTCCAGCATGAGTATGCTGGATGTCAGAGAAGTGATCCAGAATCAGATCTAGGGAGTCAGTTCAATTCAACAGATAACTCTGCGTTGGCATCCTGGCAATAGTGGGTGGTCAGATACTTCTGAGTAATGTTCCTGCTAAGCACCATTTTGTCAAGTATTAATTTGCAAAGGGAGTTAGTACACAGTTAGTAATTTGGACACTAAGCATTTCGGCATTGGTTCTAGTGTGTATCTCAGATGCCAAAAGTACGCCATTGCTGCCAATCAGAGGAATTAAAGAAGCGGAAACAAAAAAAAATGAGGCACGAGACACTAAATATGTTAGGAGTGTTCGAGAAAGATCAGAAAGGTAGTCCTGGCAGACAGAATAAACCGAAAAATAGATCAGGTAGATAGACAGACAGCTCGGAGAGACACCTAAATTAGACAGACAGGCAGACAGATCAAAGAGACAGACATAGCTAACAGACAAAAAGAAATGTCTAAAGTTCGGAGAGACAGAGGAAACAGACAAATAGATCAGACAAAGAGACAAACACATGTGCCAGACAGACAGAAAGATCAGACTAACAGACAAATGAATAGTTCAGCCATACCGACAAATCAAAAAGGTACATAGACGAGAAAGACAGAGAGATGCAATAATGTAGGTCAAGCTCTCCTTTATGCAAACTACATGAATTGCCCATCTTGATGTGTCACTGTAAAATGCAATAAAGTAAGCTTTAACATCACTTTTAAACTATCATGTTTCAACATCACTTAGATCTTTCTTTACGCAACATGTTATGCTTCAGTTATTAAATGACATTGATGCCACCAGAAGCCTCTTTTACTGATTTTGTAGTCAAAACTCTTGCAGCAATGCGATGAACTAATTGAAATGTGAAGTTAGCATGAGGATATAGCTCTTGTCAGTTAACATCTACACACACACACACACACAAACACATCTCGAGCTTTCTCCCATAACCCAATCTGCCCGCAATCTTCTCAGAACTCTCCTGGTTTTCTGCTACACATTAAAGTAATTAAAAAGTTATCCCCCTCTCCTATAAGCGTTCCACTCCTCTGCAGCTGCACCTCCTGATGGAATAGATCTTAACGCCATGTGTGTTCTGTATTTTTCCTCTGTTACCAGCAACCTGCTTTAAATACTAAGCCGTCTCATCTACTGTTCCATGACCCTGCAACTCAGACCTTGCAAGGATGCCTCCAAAGAATAATTTCAGCTTTAAAACTTTAAAGTCCAAAAATATATCTCAGACACCCATTACGCCCTATTATTTCAATTAAAGTCACATACTTATCTGTAACTGAACCTGAGCGTGTAAGACAGACAGACATCCATCACAGGACCCCAGTGTGTAAGAGGCACGTGTATTTATTCCAGAACCCTAGTGAGTTGGAAATATGATTATCACCGAGCATTAATAGGTAACATACACAGCTATCTCCCTCTATACATAATGAGTAACACACACAGTTTCTTTTTCCATACATAACGAGTAAGACACACACACACACGACAATCTACATTTTGCCAAACTGTTTGCCATTGATAACGTTACTCCAAAGTCGGTGACGCCTTACATCACTGTCACTTTTCCCTTTAATGTTGTTCCTTTCTCATTTGTTAACACAGCTATTTAACAGTGTTTTCTATCACACATATTAATTTATTTTTTTCTCATTTTAGATAAATTTTATATTTTTATTTAACATTGTGCGGATTCTGATGACGAAGCTCCGTGCCTCAACCACTTCGGAGACCATCCAGTACAGGTCAATATCAAATAAACTTCCAAGCCACCTGATCTCATTGCCCTTGGTGGAGTATTTCACTCGTTCCTTTACACAAAGTGGTTCCAAAGCCAGTCCTCTTGCTACCTCCTACCAGTCCAGGATTTAGGGACTACCCAGTTGGGTCTAAGGTGTTTTTAGAAAATAAAACACCTGAGATACAACTGGCTGATCCCTAAATCTTGGACTGGTAGAAGGGGTATATGAATTGGTACGAGAACCACTGCTCTTCACAATTGATGGCTAACTTTGGCTGCTCGGATTATGCTTCTCCTTGGTGCTCAGCTAACTTTTATTTTGGCTTAGCACCGTGGGAAATGTAGTCCAAAAACAGAGTGGCGGCCAAGTTATCCATGACTACTCTATACCATCCACCAGAGGTTTTTTTTCCATCTCCCCTCCTTTTGCTTTATCATGTTTCACACCTGCTTAACTAATTTATCCCCTATTGTTTTATATACTCCCTTCTCATTCTGGCATTTTTATCATTACATAATTGAAATCAAGGTACCCCTCTTTATCAGTCTCCAGTGTTTCCTTTTACCTTTGAAATTACCAAAGTTCTTATAGTCAATTACCCTATGTTCCATTGTCTCCATAATGTCCCAATGTGCCTATCCCTTTTACTTACCCTTCTAGGAAGGCAGTTAAAGCTACATTGGTTCTCTTACCTCTCCTGGGCATCACCTACATGCTATTCTTTGTCACTCCTGGAGAAGATGAAGTCTCCCGCATTGTGTTCATCTACTTCAACTCCTTTCTTCAGTCATTCCAGGTAAAGAGAGCAGAGCGAACTAGGCCAAAAATAAAATGGAATTTTTTTTCCATCAGATAATTTTAATATTCCCTGGGACAGGATCCTGAGGTCAATACATGATCTTACATTGGTACAATCACGTCCAAGGCATGATCACGATTTTACTTTATGATTTGATATTAGTGCAATATCCTCTGGGGCGGGCTAATGATCTTAATTCATGTTTGATATTGATACAGGCAGCTCAGGGGTGGGATTATGATCTTAATTCATGTTTGATATTGATACAGGCAGCTCAGGGGTGGGATTATGATCTTAATTCATGTTTGATATTGATACAGGCAGCTCATGGGTGGGATAATGATCTTAATTCATGTTTGATATTGATACAGGCAGCTCAGGGGTGGGATAATGATCTTAATTCATGTTTGATATTGATACAGGCAGCTCAGGGGTGGGATTATGATATTAATTCATGTTTGATATTGGTAAAGAAACCTCTGGGGCAGGATAATGATATTAATTCAAGTTTGGTATTAGTACAGACAACTCGCTGGCAGGATCCTGACATCAGTGCACAATAGTCCACTCTAGAAAAGGAAGCCGCACTCTTATAAACAGTAATAGAGTGCTCTTGAACAAGGTCTGGCAATCCATTAATGGCATGTAGTCAGAAGAAAAAAGTGGTCCAGGCACTCCATTAATTCAAGCAACTTTTTTAGACGTGAACAGACATTGCAACATTTTGGCCCACAAAAGGCCCTCAACAAATGCCCAGTTGGGGGCCGAAACACTGCAATGTCTGTTCATATCCAATAAAGCTGCTTGTATTGATGGAGGGCCTGGACCACCTTTTTCTTCTTACTGCATTACTGCACAATGTCACATAGGTACAAACACCTCTGTGAAAGAAAAGGTGTACAAATACTTTAAGGATTTAATCCTGTCTTACCTGCAGTTACTTGTGTGGATGATTCATAACCATTTCTATTGTCCTCTTTCCACAGGGGTTCTTTGTGTCTGTTTTCTACTGTTTCCTAAATAGTGAGGTAAGTAGTTACTGGCAAACCTCTTAGTATTAACTGTAGGGGTTACATTTAAAGAGCAACACTGTTCCAAAGGTCTAATAGTGTAACAACCACCTTGGAAGCTGATGGAATGTCCCTGATGATGGTTCTATTTTAGAATGTTATGCCAGAATTGTTTTATACTGGATCTCAATGTAAAAGGGAACCTTGTCTCAGTGTTTGCCATCAAGCAGCAAATTTTTGTGGGACAGAAAAAGAGCAAAATCACTGATATTTTTGATTTGCCAGTGGACCATGTGGCCACCCAGACTCATATCCTAATATTTTCGTATTGTTGCTCGGTGATAGTGGGTGGTGGATGGTAACAGGATGTCTTCTCACCAACTGACCGGTTTTCTGCTTCTAGGTTCGCTCTGCGGTGAGGAAACGCTGGCACCGCTGGCAGGATAAGCACTCTATACGCGCTCGTGTTGCCAGGGCAATGTCTATTCCCACTTCACCCACTCGAGTCAGCTTCCACAGCATCAAGCAATCTTCTGCCATCTGACTTGTATACTCAAATGTGTTCTCCCACACAGCCTGCTTCTCTTAAGCTTTCCAGAACCCGGGTAGAAGTCTCATTTTTATTGGTTGCAGAGGATCAAGCCTCCCTTGTTCCCCTTGGACATATCTAAATTTGGAAAGAGAGGAGACATCTTGTGCCTCCAACAAGACTGATCATGACAATCAATTCAATGCTGGAAGGAACCAGCAATGATACAAAGTATCTCTTTCGCTTCAAGTGCAATATGGGTAATGTCGAGCACTAGTGCGTATGCACAGAGACAGGTCGCAATTCACAAGTGCAGAAAAAAGTAATAGTTGAAACACTGTACACAGCACAAAACATACACTGATATATCACCAGCCAGAAGCAAACGATCTCTGAAAACCTTGCCTACTGCTGTTACCGCTAACTGTCCATAGTTCCGTGCCTGGCAATCAAAGCGACTATACATTGACCCAACCACTGATAAAACGAGACTACTGATGGCCTTCTATAATTCTTCACCGAGCATAATTTTATACAATGATGAGCACAACACATAAAGCTATTGTGTAATGCGCACAAGGACTACCTGGACGCAGTATGGACACTCATTTAAACGCAAGGCATGGGTTTAGCATACGAAACACAGATTAAATGTGCCCTGGGGACCAATTACGGATTTTCAGAAGAGATTTATAAAGGCTAAAATGACAACTGAACATCATCATCGCCGAGTATTGATTTAAATTAAACTAAATTCTGAATATATCAATATAAATATATATATATATATATAAATATGATTTAAAAGGATTCAATTTTTATTTTTATTTTTTCTAACTACAGAAAAATATTGGAGTTGGCAGTTTACCTGGTATTTTATGTTATGTTCCTATGTGATGTGAGCCTAGCTTGCCAAAATTATCACAGTCTAACCAGCACTGTCCAGCGGACACATAGACATGCCTCTTATATTTATACATATCGCAATCTATATCCTGCTTTGCAGCCAGCTCAATATAAGCTTGGAAGCCGGGGGATAATTGTATAACGTGAATAATTTAATATTTAACACAGCTATATCCGTGGCAGCAAATTAACCCAAAAAGTATATATTCTATATATTTATCAAGTGCAGCAATTATTTTATATATCACCGGTTATAATAAAAGGGAAAGGGGTTTATATATTGCACAGGGAACTGAATTGAAAAACAAATTGCGGAATTACGACCAAAACATGATTGAGATACAATCACAGCACAGCTATAATCATAGCTTGGACGTTATAGCCTGAATTTCGCCGTCTGATTTTTAAATCTCGCTGTTCAACACAATTAAAACAAATAATGAATAAATCATTAATAAACGGAGGTCTTTGTTTACATGTAGACCAGGCATGTTGTACTCATCAAATGACATTTAAATGCTGCCATGTTACACATGATATCCTTGTGGTATTTAAACGGGGACTACAATTGTACACGCGTGTGCTGCAGACCACTACTGAAATTGATTTTGACTCAATGTATGTACAACTTCTGTGATAAAATGATCTCAGTGACTGCTGGTCATTGTCTATTTTATTTACAAGCCACACGTTTTTCATACTCTTTAAATATCGGACACACTGAACAATCTCGCAACTGATTTGGAAATCTTGGGCCAAAATAGTTGATTTACATATTTTTATTCTTTAACTATTTTGGTTTACAATTTGCCTTGACAGTTCTCCTCCAATCCCTGGATTGTTAAAAAAAAAAACCTAAAACAGCTGTAGGTGTTTAATAGCAATTTTAGGGTAATTCTTAAATTATGGTGAATTCACCATAGAGCTAATCAAATGTTTCTACTAATATCTTCATTTTTATCACCATATCTTTTTGTATACATTTTGCATAGTTTACAGATTTTTAATAGAGATGTTGCGAACCATCCGCGAACTTCTCGCGAACGGTTCACCACGGTTCGCGTCGAACTCCGGTCAGCTGACACATCCCGGCCAATCTCCAGCAGACCCTCCCTCCCAGACCCTCCTACTTCCTGGACAGCATCCATGTTGAAGCTACCTTCAACATGGATGCTGTCCAGGAAGTAGGAGGGTCTGGGAGGGAGGGTCTGCTGGAGATTGGCCGGGATGTGTCAGCTGACCGGAGTTCGCCGTGAACGGTTCGTGGCGAACCGTGGCGAACCGTTCGCGAGAAGTTCGGACGGTTCGCGACATCTCTAATTTTTAACAGTTTTTTTTCTTATTTATAGGGCTAAAGGTTATTTAACGCTTTGTTTGTTGAAGGGTAATATCGATTCTCGTTAAAAATTCTCTCTTTAAATTATGCAAGTCCATTTTCAGTTCACCACAAGCCACAGTTTGGTATATAAACTAAGTAAAACAAAGATACCGGAGGCAGAACTGCAATGTCCATGATGCTTTGACATTCTGACAATTGGCAAAGCATCTCAGAAGTTGCAGTCCTGCAATATCTAGGGATGTACCATTTTGCCCAGCCATGACTTACACTTTTACTCACTAAAAAGGAGAATAATTTGGGAATGACATGTTTTTAATATAAAACAACCGACCTGTGAAAATTTTTTACATTTTAAAATTTTCCCATAAAACTTTATTGTTAATATTCTACAATGAAATTCATAATGAATAAATCATCTTGGTATTTTTTACATTAGGTATTTGCAGGAAAAGTAACCAGAAATACCAGGCTTTATTAACCAAATATCACAGAATCTCATTTTAAAGGGACACTATAGTCACCTGAACAACTTTAGCTTAATGAAGCAGTTTTGGTGTATAGAACATGCCCCTGCAGCTTCACTGCTCAATCCTTTGCCATTTAGGAGTTAAATCCCTTTGTTTATAAACCCTAGTCACACCTCCCTGCATGTGAGAAGCATGATCTATACACTAAAACTGCTTCATTAAGCTAAAGTTGTTTAGGTGACTGTAGTGTTCCTTTAAGACAGGCTTCCCCAAACTCCGGCCCTCCAGATGTTGCTGAACTACAACTGCGATTATTCTCAGCCTATCTATTTCATTCATAGAATCATGGGAGTTGTAGTTCAGCAACATCTGGAGGGCCAGAGTTTGGGGAAGCCTGCTTGAAGCCAAACTTTTATTTAAAGGAACACTCCATAAACCATTACCACTACAGTCCAATGCAGTGATTATGGTGCCAGAGTATTTTGTAAAACTACTGGTAGTTTGTCCTACAGTAAATTCCAGAAGCAGGGTACAACGGCATGGTTGCATGGTGGAACCCTTTGTTCCACCAAAATGGTTTGAGAAATTACATTGGGATAGCGCCAGGACACTCCTTCCACCAAAACTATTACAGCGTGTTGTAGTGGTTATGGTGCATGGAGTGTTTCTTAAAATTTGATTGAAGTGTCTTTTCCAATGCATTAAAATCAATGGAAAAAGTAACGAGCATGGGGACATAATATTAAAAGCTTTCAGTGACAGTAGAAAGGGCAGTTATTTAATGCATTGACAGGATTAAAGGGACACTGTAGGCACTGTAACTGTTTCATATCATTTAAGTGGTTATAGTGTCTTGAGTTCCCTAGCAATGTGCTTCTATTCTGTGTTAAACAGTTTTTAATCTTCTAATGACAAACAAGAGTTCCCAGCAACCTGTGCTGCTTTGATTAATGAGGATGCAATAGCCTGAGCAGCAATGGGCAGCTGTGATTGGCTGTGTGTCAGTTGATTGCTTTTAGTCTATCACAGCGCCACTTGCTGGTAGGACCTGGTATGGCTACAAGGAAGAATTTAATCCCTATCTTAGCCACACCTCCAGTGGAGGCCGGGTTGTAGTTGGCCAAACAGCCTTATTTACTGTTAGACTGCTTGAAAATGTTTTAACGCCAAATGGAGGGACTCCAAGAATTATAACCAAGTCAATTAGGTCAAGTGGTTATAGCACCTATAGTGTCCCTTTAAATGATGTTTGTGATACGTAAATGTTGATTTTGAAGATGAAACAAGTGGTAAGGTTTTTTAAAGACCGGATATTAGCTAACTGGCTCCTCTATTCTGTTACGATCTATGTATCCGTGACAAAGTTTGTTCTACATGAGCGGTTCTAGATAATTCCTGCAATATGTTCTATCGAGCCTGCACTGTACTCCTCTATAGATGCCTAGGGAGCGATTTATCAACATAAAACTGGAACAATTCAGTCACAACGTAGTAAATATTGAACAACCTACGGAAGAGCATTCTTTTGATTCCCGCTGAACCTTTTTTACTTGATAAATGTACTCCCTTGGGGGACGCTGAGATGTATCTAGTCAATGTCAAAGCGTCCCTGGAAAACTGTAAAAATGTTGGCGAGTGAAAGACTATCACATGAAACCAATCCCTCTTTTGATTGTATTAGTGCTGTCAAGGATGCAAACATAAAAGACTGGTAGAGTTAGTAAGAGTATATCTACATTCTTTATGTTAATATTTATAGCGTGCCAAATGTCCTCTATCATTAAGGGGTTAATGCATAATATTGCATGAAATACAAGGAAGACTAATATTTCTCTCCCCTTAGCTGTATACAGTGCAGTCTCTATTTCTAAAACAAATGAATAATGAGATTAAAGAGAGAATTCAAAGTGGATTATTATTAATAATATCTATAAAGTGCCAGCAAATCTTGCAGAGCAATGGGCGGATTTACAGACAAGTATTTGTAACCTGACAAGTTGGTCGCACAGTAACAGAGGGAATTAAAAGTGAATTTCAAGTTTAATTGGAACACTAAAGGGTCAGGAACACCATGTATTCCTGACTCTTTAGTGTTAAAAATACTATCTAGCCCATCTGCTCTCCTGGCCCCCTCTTGCCCTCCTTAATATATAGTAAAATGTTACATTTATTCCAGTCTGCTAGTGCTGGATCTGCCCCTGATCTGCCTGCTTGGCTGACATCATCAGAAGTGATGATCTGAGCCAATCACAATAATTTCCCATTTGAAAGCATTGGCGTGGCTGAGACTGTCAAGGAGGCAGATCAGGGGCAGAGCCAGCACAAGTCAATCTGCATTTCCTAATAGAGATGAATTGAATCAATGCATCTCTATGAGGATAATTCAGTATCTGCATGCAGAGGGTGGAGACACTGAATGGCAGTCACACCGTGCAGCACTGCCCCAGGAAGCAGCTCTAGCAGCCATCTGAGGAGTGGCCAGTGGAGTTATCACGAGACTGTGATGTAAACACTGCTGTAGTTGTTCTGGTGACTATAGTGTCCCTTTAAGGTCAAAATAGTCAAACTTGAAAAATTTTCTAAGTCAGCTATGCTTTCAGTTCATCTACTTTGGCCTTAAATTTGACATTGGTTTTAAATTTGTTTTGAATTCTCGCTTTAGTGAGTAAACCTCTAAAGTTCAACGACACTCCAACACAACAGCAAATATTGGTAAGAATCACCAAAATTTCACTAGTTTTTACCAAAACTGCACATCTCATTTGGTACATGTGGCGGACCACTTGTCAAGGGACTTGAGTGTCACTGCTAAGGCTCTCCTTTCCTTCTGAATTACCTCTCCCAGCGCCTAGAAGAGTGATTATAGCTCAGTGTTATAGCTTGTATAGTGGTCTCACCCAAACACTAGTCGAGACTTAGTGAAGGGTGAAGAAGAAAAGTTTTTATTGTCAACTTGTCAGCAGTAGCTCCCCAGGAGAACAATGGGATTGCGACATCCCCAGCGCTTTGGTATCTGTACCTAGGTGGTAAATATAATTAGTGGCCAAACACTAACAAAAACAAAAACTGGGTAACAAAAACAACAATGCAGGATTACCCTGCCCACATCACCAAACAAATACAATTTTTTAGCAGGCCTCGGCTGCTCTCTGATGCAGCGCAGAGTTTCAGACCATTTAGTGGAAGTTACTGAAAACCACAGAGTTTTTCATGGGTACATGGTGCTCCCTCAAGTCCAGGGTGCCATTGGATGCCTAACCACCTCCTCTGTCTCCCCTCCAAAAAGCACCTTGGTAGTTAGTCCTGGGACCAATAGTGCTCACAAAGAGATTTAAGCGACCGGTGCTTAATCCGAACCAGAGATCCATAGCACTCAGTGGTTGTTCCCAGTCAGGTGCACCATACCTTCAAAGCCTACATGGGGGTTCCTGGTCCTCTCGAAGACTTCTGTTAGAGGCGCTAGACAGGGAGTCATATTTTGGAGGAGAAAATCCTGTGAATTATGGTTCTTTTGAGGGAGGAGGTGGTTCGGGGGCCATGTAGTTTTCCTGGGTGACAGGGTGGTCTGTCACAGTACATTTGGTGTCTGGTAGAAAATGGGAAGAATGGGATTTACATATTAAAAACCTACAATTTACCAGATTCACTATTCTGTGTTCTAGAAGGAGGTACATATATAAAATAAATTCACCTGCTTTATTTAAGGCAAATATCCAGAAATACACAATATTCTTCAACTGGCAGATCAAACGACGAGTGGGAAAAAAGTTTTAGAAAATTAACAAAAAAAGATACAAATGGGAGGTCAAAGACTCCGTAT